TGAAGAACCTTATTTACCATTGGCAAAAGAGCTGTGGAGAAAAGCTGCTGAGCAGCTCGACCTGCTGCCCCCTCCTAAAGACACAGCCACTCATGGAATTATTGATAGGGTGGATCATATCAAAAGTTCGCTGATAGAATGCGTTACGATGAGCAGATGCTTTTCACTGCAATTAGATGAGTCTGTACATGTCGTTGATTTTGCCAATTCGCTTGTTTATGTTAGATACGAGTTTGAGGGCATGTCCCATGAGGACTTTCTGTTCTGTAAGCCGCTACCAACAGGAACTACAGGAGAGTACATGTTTCAGTTTCTGAATGAATTTATCGAAGAGAATGGCATCGGCTGGATAAAATGCGTCGGAGTTTGTACGGAGTTTGTGCTAGAGCGATGACAAGCCGACACAGCGGTGCAAGTTGCACAAATTAGAGAGGTTGCTCCAGGAATGAATGGACGCATGGACGTGTGTGGGCACGTGTGCTCATGTTGGTCATTGAGATTGAGGTCATTAAGATCAGATCAAGAAAGAGAAAAAGGAAAACCAGACCATAAGAGAGAGGGAGACAGGTGGAGAGAACTTATATGTGTATGCCAGGTGAGAGGTCCTTGTTCAAGATCATCCGAAAAGTCATCCGATTGGAGCTAGTAATAGTAATAGTATTGGAGAAGTATTTGTACCAAGAGAGCTTGCTATTCTGTAGCTTTAAGGGAACTTGGAGTGCCTAAATGAGAAATCCCTTGGTTTGAAACAGCCTTCCCAGGTTAGTGGGTGCATTTTTAAAATAGGGGAAGAGGGTTCCATTAATTTTTTGGTATCTGAGTTTGCAGAGAAAGGACTTAATCCTAGATTTTATTCTAATTTAGAAGACAGCTCATCTCAAGAGTCTGGGAGTTTCCTGGGTGGTTAGGCCTCTGGGAATGGTTGACTGTAAAATGGTAATGTACTTAGGGAAATTTGTGTGTTGAATGTTTATGATTTGTGATGTGATGTGTGCATGGATATTGTTAATACATTTTTGTTTAACCCAGTGTGCGCAAATTTTTACTCTTTTCATCAATACTGTTCCAGAGAATAAGTACTCACGTGCCTCTAACGATACAAATCCTTACATGCACGGACACACACTTTCTCTTCTCCAATGTAATGTTTTTATTAGAACTTGCCAGCATTTGGCATATACAAATATTTTTCAGGATATACACTTTTGACAAGGGTTTTTTGTATTCAGTGTTCAATCCAAAACATTTTAGTACACAGGATTGGATTTTAAGCCTTTCTTAAAAACATAAGCTGTTCAAACAAGTTTTCAATTGGAATTTTAAAACAAGTGGTTTATTTTTATAAAATTATATTTTTGAATCCATTTTGATTCACAAGTACGTAAGTTTCTAATACATGGGTCTTAAGATCAATGATTAATACGTCAATACGTATTAAAGATGGATTTTTTAAAGATGGACTTTAAAAAAGGAGACTTTCTCTCCTGTGCAATGCCAACAGTTAGTTAGTATTGCCAATGGTATGTATTCTAATGAAGGTTTGGTTATGTCAAAACATGGATGAGTTCTAATACAATACGTTATTTTGCAGAAGAGATCATCTTTACAGATTTCTACTGAAGAAACCTTAACATGTTTTGGGTGTGTTCATTTTCTTTTGAAAATAGGTACAGTAATTACAAAACATAAGTGAACATGTCATTACTTTTATTACAGGTACTACAAATTCAATACTTACCATGTGAATGACCTGCAGTGCTTCCTGTAAAACCGAAGAAACCCTTTACACCTGCAGTGTGCCTTAAAAAATATAAGCAGAGAACTCCACAACTGTCCCCTCCCTTGAAGATACGTACGATGCATGCTTGTCTGTCACTTATTCACTGTCCTTTTCTGAATATTTTTTCACAATATTGACGAGTAAAACCTTATTAAATTTGCCTGTGAATCTTTTCAGTCATTATTTTTAAACTAATATTTGCTTATTGGACTAAGAATACTAGGTTGTATCATTGTAATTATTGGGTGTACTTTGCAGTATTTAAAAAAAATAGTGGATAATCTAAACAGGATAAAAAGAAAATAAAAGATAGAGATGCCATTAGGTCAATACAGGATGACTGAAATTAGGACATACGTGGCAAACGATAATTGATATCAAATGATGTATACAACGTGGAAATAAAATATAATATCTATACCATAGATAGCATACAATTAGTAACCTTTACTTAACCACATAAATTGGTTAAGAACAAAGTTGAACAATTTCACTGAGCAGGCTTCACTGAACGGGGACCAAACTACATCTTAGGAGCCCAGAGGGGTTCCTCAAGTCAAGAATAACAGACATCAAGAATGTGGACGCAGAATTTGGTGACATGCTGGTTCAGAGCTACAGTTTGTAGCCTAGGGTTAGCATTACCACATTCTGCAAAGTCAGTAGAGATATACCCCCCAATAATTGTCTAATTACTGCCAAAGTTGTTTCCACCAAATATCGAGTTAGTGATACCAAATATATATACAATCAATATTTTTCCGTTATTTCTCTCTAGTTTTGTCGGCAATTCTCTAACTTATCTTGTTCTCTAAAATCTTCATATAGAGTATCCAGGTTTTGAATGAAATATTAAGTTTAAAGAAATGTATATTCATTATTTTGTAATTTTATAAAATTATAATAATTAATAATTGCTTACATTTATATAGCGCTTTTCTGGACACTCCACTAAAAGTGCTTTACAGGTACTGTAACCTCCACTACCACCAATGTGCAGCTCCCACCCAGATGATGCGGCAGCAGCCATAGTGTGCCAGAATGCTCACCACACATCAGCTATTAGTGGGGAGGAGAACATAGTCATGAAGCCAATTCATAGATGAGGATTATTAGGAGGCCATGATTGGTAAGGGCCTTTGGGAAATTTTGCCAGGACCCCGGGTTTACACCCCTACTCTTTTCAAGTAACGCCCTGGGATTTTTAATGACCAAAGAGAGTCAGCACCTCGGTTTTATGTCTTTTCCGAAGTCGTCGCCTTTTTACAGTATAGTGTCCCTACCACCAGGCAATGTCCCGGTTTCACTGAGGAAAAAAAAACACGTGTATATTTTGTGATATGTTTTTTATGTGGTTTTTATGTGGCATTGTGGTTTTTAGCATTTTTAGCATTAGGACCCACATAGACTTCTGTGCGAACCCTGCTGGTCCTACTAACACCTCTTCCAGCAGCAACCTTAGTTTTTCCCAGGAGGTCTCCCATCCAGGTAGTGACCAGGCTCACACCTGCTTAGCTTCAGTAAGTTGTCAGTTGTGAGTTGCAGGGTGATATGGCTGCTGGCAAAATGGAACACCATTAAAATAAACTATTTTATATAGCTCCCTTAAATAAGCTTCTTAAAGTTCTTTACAATAAGAGAAAAAAATAGGAGAGGAGATAAGAAAATGAATACAATTTAAAAACCAGGGTTTCCTTCCTGAAGAAGACGTGCAACCTTCTAGATGAGCAAGAGGATTTGAACTCAAAACCTGATAGCAAGCCAGTGCAAGGACTCGAACACAAGTGTAATGTAAACACTTGTACGTGACCTGGTGAGGATTCTGGCTGCTAAATTCTAAAAATTCTAAAATTTAGATACCCTAGTGAATAGGATGTTGCAGTTATCAATTCTAGAGAACACAATTGTGTTGTCCAGCTTTTCAGCTACAGTCAGAGACAACATACAATAGGATGTAGTCTGGTGATATTTCTGAGATGGAAGACTGATATTGTTATACCATTTTGTACAAAGTGTCACAGTATCAGCCTCCCATAGTCAGACCTCAACCTCAGGCCTAGACTCCAGCGAGAATTATCCAATTACCGTTCCTGTTCACCACCACACCTCCGGTTTTAGGATACTTAGGGAAAGTCTGCAGACACAGCAATGTTCAGTATTTTGTTTTTCCCAGTGGGCTCTCATAAATCTCACAAGAGACTACTAAACACATATAGCAGTAGGGTTTATAGTCAGGAAAGGCACAGATTAAAATTACTGGTCTAATAACAGGCATTATATCTGGTTTAAGCCAAACATAGCACATCACTCTCTTAACTGTCAAGCATGGTGGTTATGCAGATGCTTGTCAGGACTGAAGGAAAAATGGATTGTGGAAACATAGCTGAATTGTAGAGGAAAGCCTGCTAAAAAGTTTAAAAGTATCTTAAAAATTAACACTTCAATAGAAGAATGAACTGAAGCAAAAACCCAAAGACATAATGAAGGGGGCTAACATGAAGGGAACGCATGTTCTTCAATGGCCCAGTCAACGGTTTGACTTGAAGCCAATAACTTTTATGACGAGGTCTGATGGTTGTAGTCATCAGGACCACAGTATTTTTGCCAAGATGAATGAACATAATTACAACCTCCCACTGTGCAAACTGGTCCAGTCTCATCTAAAAATAATGACACCAGTAATTCCTGATGAAGTTCCTTTCACCATGTACTGCCTTAGAAGGCTTGATACTTATATAATCAGTCAATTCCAAATTCCACATACAGTAGTATCTTAGAAACCTGATGACAATAGATCTTGGTCTGGACCAGGAGTCT